TAGAAAAAGTTTATAATTTTATTTTGATATAGCAATGAATATAAATTCAATATAAATTCAAGACGAACTTAATTACCGTAATTCACTGCATAAAGTATAGTATCCAGGGTACGTTAGATTTTACCCCCAAGATTAAATAGAAAACAATTAATAAAAAAGGGGGGTTGGGCACATTACATACTTTATGCGATGAATCTCTACAAAATTCGCAAATACTATTCTAATACGCGCAAAAAAGACTGAAATTATTATAAAACGCAACCTTTGCTAGTTATAATTCATATTTGTATCGTTTATGACATTTCAACAAACAGAATTTTATGACATAATTTAGTACAAATGAGACATTTTCTTCGCTTGACTTTTGTTTAATAAGATGATAAAAATGAGGGATTTGAACTTGATGACATTAGAATTTGTCTAAGAAATCAGAAGTGACAGGATTCTAGTTTGGACGATAGTCTTTACAATCAATATAAAAAATTTCAACATAGTTATTAATTTGATATATAGAAAAAGAAGAAAATCCTTTTAGCCCCAAGAAACAGTCAATCTTGGCAAAAGAGCGGCGAACATTACTCGACTCAGCTTCTGTTATATATAATAGCTCATCTGAATTATCTAAAAATGCTTTTTATCGACAAGTCTTGGTGCTTTGACTTGATGATTGCATACCAGTTCAGTTTTCCAGTTCGTTTATAGGCGCGTCGTGGTGACGTCGCAGAAGTTGAGAAACGGGAATGTAGAGCAGCCCATCAAGTATCTTAACATAGTTTTAAGCAGAAATTTAAGCATTGAGAATGAGAATATACTAGAAAATGATAGAATTCTCGATATTCAAAAAACGAACTCATAAAGCATGGGATGACGATTTGAGCTGCTACAAGCGTTTCGAAGCTTATTAAGAGATGGCGGACTCGGTGAGTTTCAACAAAAAAATAAGAAAGATTTCCCGATTGTTGTCGCTCCTGGTTCTTCCGAAGATATTATTAAAGGAGAATCAAAACGGAAGTTTATTTAAAGACGTTGATGAGGTGGACATCGCTATTAACCTGCTACCTACTACAACACAATAAAAGATCGTGTACTAGCTCGTTTAAATGTACATTCTCGTCATTTATGATTTAATAAAATTTCGATTTTTGCGATAAGACAAATAGAGATACGCTTTTTAAATCACGTGGCCATAATAAAACTATCAAAAGTTGATTATATAAACAAGAAACCATTAGACTTATTTAGCTTAAGCCGGATTCCTTTTGAATCCATCATGGATGAAAAAATTCACATGTTAATTTCTATGCAAAATGTCTTCTGAAGATTCTACCAAAGAAATACGTCATCGAGGAGGAACTTCACCTGAATCTATCGACGTTTCTTCTTCCACCTCAGGATTTACTCGCCGCAGAAGAATTCGCAAGTCCCGTGTACAAAGACTTTTTTCTTCAATAAAATGGGTGGTATTAGCTTGGTTTATTACATTCTGGTTTGACGTATATGACGGGATTACAGAGGTTCTGGGGCGAGAAGAGTCATATTCAAGGTAATGATTATTTATATTTGCCATTTTGCACTTTTTTGATCTAGTAGCAAGATGTTGAACATAAATTCTTTTGGCGCAAAAACTAGAACCCTTTTTCATTTGTCTTTATTATCATTATCAATAACTTTTGGGATATTCTGTCACTTGCAATTTATTCGGCCAATATTTCTTGGCGAACCACCGCCGAATTATGGAGCATTGGAACAGGATGCGACTTTGCGAAAATATATACCGATCGCTGCGTTTACAATGTTATTTGGATTCGTGGGATTATGCGTGAGTTTATGGGAAATTTGGCACTTTTGGTCTCCTTTAATTGTTGGTGGATTAGCTATGGGATTTGTTTCTTTGATGAATATATTTTAAAGAATGTTGAATTATCCTAGACCATCAAGCTCTCACTTCATAAAATAAATATATCATAGTCAATATCATTATTGTGCCCATTAGTCAGGTGACGTTTATTTTAAATAAAATTAATGGCAACATTACGAAGTCAGCGTTAATTTTTATTGGAACATCGTTAAGTTGTATTCTTATAATTTATTATCGGTGAACGAATAAGCAAACAATGAAGTTTTTTTTTCAATTGTATGATCATTCATCGAAATACGCGCGTGATTAAATTCCTAACGATAGATCTAATTTCAGCCACATTAGCCTTGCATATCCAATGTTGCGGGTGAAATTCACCAATCGATTATCAACCCCATGAAAAAAAAATTTACAAGAATGTGGTTAACCAGTTAAGGATTTAGCGTTAGTATTTAGACCATATCGATATATTTAAATGACCAAAGAATTTCATTCAACTCGATGAAAAATCATATGGTATTGTATTAATTACTCCTGGCCACCCAATACCTAATATGGTTAAAATGTGGGGGAGCTCCAAATATAAATCCTAAAATCCATCAACCACATCATAACTTTTTTTATAAGCGATGCAATGTCTAATAGGGCTTATTTTTTAATAATATGTTTATTCCTTTTCTCCAATACAGTCAGTTTGATTTGGAGAGGACGGAATACTGGCAAACGGGAACATTTCTCAACCTCGTCTTGGTTCCCTTTAACTAAAAGGTCCGAGTTGAATTCGGAAATTTACTCTGATAACGCGACTATTTTCCAAAGCGATATAAGTCTGTTATCTGAGGTACGTTGCAATTTTTTGTGGATAATTACTTGAGTATACTGGCAAACCCGTATTTTCACAAATAGTAATTCTATCGAGTAAAACTCAAAAAACGATTTTCCGATGATTATTTCATCAATTCACTTTTTTGTCTTTATTTTATGCGGTATTTCGAGAAATTGATAGAATTTATTTGGTATTTTCACGCACATTGATAGAAAGCTTTATTCTTGTATTGATTACCAATACAAGTTTATTCGCATCACGAATGTATTCTTCCACGTGCTATGCTATTTATTTTTGAACGAGTTGAAATCCAAACTCTAAAATTTTTTGTTATCTTTATGTCCTTAGCAATGCGACTATATATATGACCACGAGGATCGGTGCGCGTTTGTACGCGAGCATTGTGAAAGCTTTACATCTGGATTGTTAAATTATCTCGATTTCTATTTCTGTGGTTTAAATACTTTGAAATTTCCAATATTAGTGATACTCGTAAGTGGGAACATATGATTCACTGTTTCTTCATTAAATTATTTTTTCGTGTGAGCTTAGCTTTTTTGTTTATCTATAGTTTAGTTGGCTGCTTTTCCTCTTCGGATTTGTTGGTGTTGCTGCTTCCGATTTCTTTTGTCCTAATTTAAGTACTATTGCTGCAAAACTTCATTTATCGGAAAGTATGGTAAATTATCGAGCATTGCCATTTGTTCTTTCACTTAAATCTCTATCAAGCATATTAATCATAATATGACGCTTATTGTTGTTGAAAAAAAAAGGCAGGTGTAACCTTTTTAGCATTTGGAAATGGATCCCCGGATCTTTTTAGTACTTTTAGTGCTGTAACAAATAATTCAGGCTCTCTAGCCTTAGGAGAACTCATCGGCGCTGCGAGCTTTATTTCTTCAATAGTTGCCGGTTCTATGGCCGTAATAACACCTTTTCGAGTTACAAGGGTTCCGTTTATTCGTGACGTGTTGTTCTTCACCGGGGCAATTGCTATTGTCTTTTTTATTATTATGGATGGCGTGATTCATTTATGGGAGAGCGCGTTACTGGTTATTTATTATTTTATATATGTTAGTGTGGTGGTGGTTGGTGCTTGGTGGATGAAAAATAAAAAGAAAAAAAACTGGCTTGAGCAGAAAGCAAGAGAAGAATATACAAATTCATTGGAAGTTAGGCAAACAGATTATCTTGGAAAACACATAGATGAGGAATATGATGGTAAAGAAGTTAACCGCAATGCATTGTTGTGTCTGCTTTTTTTCACAATTTTTTTCACGAAATTTTTTTTTGATTTTCAGATGATCAAGATGCGTATGGTTACAACACATATAGTGAGACAGATCTTTTATTACCAGAGGTAGAACACGATGTGACTTATGATGGAACAACGAGTCCAATCTCAATGACTTCACTTGCTCATCATGCAGATAATCCGGAATCAAATGAATATTTCACACCATCCTCATATATATCTATGAATGATGTTGTTGATCAATCGTTGGGCTTCCATCACCCGTCAGCGCGATCCGCAGGAAGACCTTTACATCGTGGGTTGCGACCATCGCTATTTGGAGCCATCGAGGTATATTGATTTTTAATTGTAGAATTAATCAGTATTTTATTTGATTTTAATTAGTGTTTTTCTTAGTTTCGAGATGTAGTGAAATCTCTGAAATTAGATAGTAATGCCAGAGCGCTTGGTGCATTTGGGCGTAGTTATACCTTCGATTTCTATAATAGAGGACCCGGAACTACTAACCTAACAAGAAGTCGAACATTGCCAACCCCTAGGAACGATATACGTCGAAGACGTTCATGGGTTAACTTTGGAGTTTCAGTGCCAATTGGTCAATTAACTGATGCAAATAGTGAACGTCCAGTTCCGAGACGACATCATAGTACATCTGATTTACATAATAGCGCACAAACATCATCGACTCTATCCCCGGTAAATGATGATAATCAACATTTAAGGGTGCCCTCAGAAAGTGACAGACGCAGACCTCCGCGTTTATTGTTGATTCCTCCAACCCCCCAAGAAGGGAGAAGTCCGTCACTTTCTCCCAGTAGGGTCAACTCACCATTGCTTCTTACAAGCTCGCCAGTTTCGATGTCACCTAATCAATATCCTTTTCCAGGAAGTCGATCACCTTCTGAAATCTCTCTTGAAGAATCTCCTCCACTTTCTCCTACTTCAGCTTCAGAATTACCCGGACCACCACCTCCGTCGCCTGCACCGTCACTTTCATCTCCTACACAGTCTTTCACTTATCCATCAATTAAATCATCATCTCGTCTATCAAATATTTGGGACAATATCCAACCAATAATATTTCCATCCCTCGAAGGATTCTCTAAAAAATCTGCATTCGCCAAACTCATTGCATTGTTGGCATGTCCTGCTATCTTATTGCTCGCTCTTACATTACCTGTCGTTGATGCTGACGAGATTAAATTGCAAGAAGAAGAAAAAAAACAAGAAACTAATGAATCCGAAATTCCCACTATTATAATTGAGGGCCAAGATCTTCCGATTGAAGACACGCCTGAAGAAGAGCCAAAAGATCAACGTTGGAATCGTTGCTTAACCTCGACCCAGTTTCTATTGGCACCAATTTTTGCTGTTACAGTATTAACGCGTAAGCTTACTTTGTTGGTCGTGTTTTCTTTGATTCATTACATTTATATCATATCTTTTTTAGTTGGAAATGATACGGCTGGGAAATATATATTATATTCCTTCTTCGTTGGTATTATATCTTCAATACTGTGCTATTCGTGTACAAAAGATGATGAACCGCCACCTTTTTATACGTTCCTTTGTTTTTTTGGATTTGCTATTGGAATGGTTTGGATTTTTCTTGTTGCCAATGAGGTCGTAGCATTGCTTCAGGTAAACACTTTAAATTGGTAATCAACTAGTTGAAGAAATTATCACTAACTATTTAAGCCTTGCAATTTATTTCTTGATCAGGCGCTCGGATTGATCATGGGTCTGAGTGATGCTATCTTGGGCTTGACAATTTTTGCAATGGTAAAGGATTTATATTTTTGACGCATGTTTTATTTATGATTTTATCTCTCTTATCATTATGTTATTCTGTTTTTTACAGGGAAACAGCTTGGGTGACTTTGTCGCCAATATTACTATCGCAAAGATGGGTTTTCCCATGATGGCAATGAGTGCTTGCTTCGGCGGTCCGATGTTAAGTAAGTCTACTTTTCTTAGGTATATTGCAAATTCCTAGATAACTTATAAAATATTATTCGCACAGATATTCTTTTAGGAATTGGCATAAGCGGATCATACATGACACTAAAAACACAAAAACCCTATACAATCACGGTTTCACCTACTTTATTCATTTCCTCACTCGGGCTATCTACCACCTTGATTTCATCTCTATTCTATCTGCCACGAAACGACTATCGTATGACCAGAGAATGGGGATACTACCTTATTTCGGTTTATTTGATTTGCATGATCATTAATGTTGGTTTAGAATTAAAAGGGATTGACAGTACTTAGATTCTTTAATTTAATCAATTAATTTTCTAATGTATGTTGTAAGTGGGAGTGGGATCTACATGTGGACATGAAATAGATTTGTTGGCCGATTCTCGAATCCCATTCCCACTTACAACATAGATCGAGATGGGGTCTTAATTTAATTTTTGTAATAATGTACATAATTGTGAATCCTGAAAATCCTGAAAATCAATTTCAAATATTACTGCATAATCTATTTGCACGTGTGATGTTCTACAGAATTCGTGGCACACGCGCTTTGATTTTACACCTCTCGAAACGAAAAAATGTGGTCGTTAATTGATTACATTTTACAGCTAACCCCGTATTCATATCTCGCCGGGAATTTACATCCTTTAGCTTCAGTAGTTGTCGCTTTCTCATTGTTAACCATCGGATTTATTGTGACTAACGCCGTAATGGTGAAATTGTTTGGGAAAGATAAATTTAAGCCGGCAGGAAAAGTAAAATTTTTTAATTTATTTAGATTATTGTAATGGGTGTTTGTGACATTTATTAATGTGTGTCAACTTGTATTTGTTAGTAAAAAATTGTTTACAGTCTTTTTTCTGGTTTAAAAGCATGCTTATATCACAGGTGGTAGCACTGGACTCGGAAAAGCACTTGCTGTTCTTCTGGCAAAGAAAGGCGCGAGTGTGACCATAGTTGCACGCGATAGAATAAAATTAGATACAGCTTTAGAAGAGATTAATGTAAGATTTTTTTATTCAAAATTTTTTCCATATATTATGTTCCAAAAAAAATAATTCGATCTATTTTTTACAAAGGCTGCACGCATCAACGAAAATCAAATATTCAATGCAATTTCTGCAGATATGACTATCCATGCAGAAGCTGTTCGTGCCTTAGATGAAGCAGCAACGAAACATGATGGCAAGGTTCCAGACTTTATATTTTGTTGTGCTGGTAAGCTGCTTCACTATGTCGAATCTTTTTTTTTGCATTCTATTATATTTATGCAAACTATCATTCTTTGTTGACGATAAGGTGCTGCTATCCCGGGCACATTTATTGATCAATCTATTACTGAATTCGAAACTGGGATGAAACTTAATTATTTCGGAACTTTGTATACTGTTCATGTAAAATTTTTTTATTTTTAAAACTGTAATCTTTTATGGTATCATATTTATACGAATTCTGTTTATAGGAAGCTGCACGGCGTATGGCACAACAAGCTGTCAAAGGTAAAATTGTCATGGTCAGTTCGGTCATGGGATTTATAGGGTTTTTTGGATACAGTCAATACGCGCCGACTAAACATGCCATACGGGGTAATGTTCTTTTGTACAACGTGTTTATTTTAATTATTCATGTTAGTTAATTATTCTTGCGATTTTCTATTCCAATCAAAGGTTTGGCTGATTGTCTTCGTAATGAACTTATACTTTATGATATCAGTGTTCATTGCTATTTTCCCGGGACTATTCGGTCGCCTGGTTTAGAGAACGAAGTTTGTATCACTTTTTATACCATATAAATAGAAGCGGCCATTTAAATTTTTCTTAACTATTATTAGAATAAAACAAAGCCATTAATTACGAAACAAATCGAAGGTGTGGATGAAGGATCAACACCAGAGCAGTGTGCAGAGGCATTATATAAAGGTTCGTAAGAATATGTGCTTTTTGAAACGTGTATCATCACTATATTAATTCTATTTTTAGGTCTGCGAAAAGGTCAATATTTTATTACATCTGATATAATTGCAAACATATTAAGGGCTGGCACGAGAGGTAAGAATTAATTAAACTGAATTTGCCAATTTATTAGTATTTCTAATTCTAGACTATTTTTTTACCAATGACAATAGGGGTCGCACCATCAAACAATATTGTTGTTGATGGTCTGCTTTGCTTCGTTTCTTGGGTGAGTCACTTAATATCTACCAAACTTTATATTATAATATTTTCATTTGTTTGTTATAACGACTTAACTTACGCACGATATATTAAAAAAAGATTGTCGCTGGTCCAGCGAGGATTCTTGGCGACAAAACTGTTAGAGATGCAAAATCGACACATATACTTTCTAATGAAAATAATTCTTTGACTAATCCAAGTGATCCACAAGCTGCTAAAAAATCTGATTAGCCTAAATAAAGTTCAAGTCGAAAACGCGATTTAGGTTATCTCGGATTTATCATAAATATGCAAAACGTGTAGCGCCATATAATTTATTTTATCTTTACTCATTATTTTTTATAATCTAGACTTAATTTTTTAAAATCACATGTCTTTTAATTAAGCTGTGTTTTTAGTTCTCTGAAGTTGCTTGTACTGAACATTTATCATACAAAAAATCTTTATTTCAATGATCTTAAACTCTCGCTAACGGTATCTTCCTTAGATTAGCATGCTCTTGTATCGAGGGCACGGAATTATATACGAAGTGAACTTCTTCACAAACATTCTATTCTAGACATGTTTTATTAAAAGTTATTTAGCAAGATTGGTTTTTTTTTTCAAGGATAATATTTAATATATGACTGTCACAAATATAATGTATAACATCTATACCCATAAAAAATTTAGTATAACTTCAAGCTAAATAAATCATCAAAATGATAGTTTTGATGATATTTTTCAGATTAATGATTTATTTTTTAATTTAATAATCACTGAATCTTTATTTTCGAATGGTGAACAATCTACTTTAGACCAATCAGTGAGCTCGATTCTTGATTACATGATATTGCTCAGACAAAAAATCATTTTAAAGAATTTGTAAGATTATTTTGTTAATGGTTATAAACAAGATAAAATGCAATATGAATAGTCTTAATTTATAAACTTATGATTTTATTATTTGAATGATATTCAGATCTGAAGTAAAAATAAAAAATAAAGAAAATATATTTATAATGAAAAGAAATGAATACAAATATGAATAAATCAATAATAATTTCTAATTAAAATACATATGGATTGAACAGAATTAATTAACTTAATTCATGTTTCCAGAGGGCAACTAATCATAATCTAATAATTATAAATATGCTAAATAATAATATAAATATAATAAAAGAAAAATGAATTAAAATAATAAGAAAATAATAATTAAAAATATAATAATCTAAATAATATATAGTGATTATTTATATAATAATGTGTGAAATCTAATTAATTAAAATATATAAATAATCATTTATATATTCAATATGAAATTAATCTTTAATAAAAGTAATACAAAAGATAATCTGTTATATAAATAATATAAAATAAAGATTTAATATTTAAGAAGATAATCTAATCAAAATTATTATATATTTTTTCATTTAAAATATATGAATTCTTTTGTTAAGAATAAAGATAATATTATAACTTAGTCATAATTCTTTGGCTATTGTAATTAATCATAATTTTCTGATTGACTATCACAAGTTATAATTAATTGAGATAATATCTTTAGTCAAGAATATTTTTAATTTTATATTCTTCTTTATTATTTGATATAATGATGATTATTGGTAATTAATATCTATTATACTCATCATTTGAATTATATTTCTTTAAAAATAATATATGAATTATCAGATATAGTTTCATATTAACTGATAATTGCAATTTATAGATAATAAAAAATATTTTATTAATGATTTTAAAGAGTTTAATATATTTTGATATAAGTGTTTTGATTATTTTTTATTTATTTACTAAATTATTTATATTATAAAGAGAAAAACTTAATCTTTTATATTAAATTTTTCATATTTTTTTATAATAATTAGTATATTTATTTTATTTATTTTGTATTTCAAGTAATAAATTTTTAGTAATCTTTATTATAGTATTCTAATACTTTATGAAAGCTTGTAATATTATAATATTATTTAATAATACTAAAATATTGATAAGACTATAAGATAATTAATCATAATTTAATTTAAAGAATATGTAATTAGTAAAAATATTCTTGTTATTATTATAAATGAATTTAACTATTACTAAATTTTTATCTTATTTATTTTATTGATATATTATATATATTCTTCTAGAATTCTATTTAATTTCTTTATCTCATCATCTAATTATAAGTAAAATATTATTAATATGATAAATTTGATTCTAAGTTATTTAAATAATAATTTTTAGAATTTATTTATAAATTTTATATTTTTATTTAATATTATTATTATAAATAAATTATGCAATTTAAAGATATTTTTAAAAAATATTTTATAAAGTATATTCTTTTTGATAATTTATTAATAAATATAATTATTATATTATATTCAGACTTGATAATAGATAATTATATTATAAAATTCATAATGATATATTTCTATCTGTATTTTAAAATAATAATTAATTAGACTAATTCTAAAAATTACTAATTACTATTTTTTATTATACTGACTAATAAAATTATTAAAATATAATTATATATATCTTATTTATATTAACATATTCTGCAATTAATATATTAAAATTCAAATAAAATCTTTACTTTTAATATTTTATTATTTGATATAATTATATAATTAATATTCTTTAGATATAATAAATCTTCTTTTAATTTAAAGTATTTATTTTTGCTTACTATTTTAATATTATATTATTAAAATTCTTTAATATTTCAAATATTTCTATTAATACTTATTTTTTTAATATTTCTTTATTAACTCTTTCTTATTAATAAGATTAATAATAATTATTATAATATTTATTAGATATAAATATATTTATAATAATATTATTTTTGACAAGTTTATACTTAATTTCAAAATTACTACTTGTAAGATCTCTAACTAGTGAACTTATTTCTTGAAAAGATTATTTTATATTTTAATATATTTCAAGAAAGTATAATCTATAAAAACTATAAATTTTTATCTTTTAAGATATGACTTTTAAAGTTTAATAGTATGTATAATAGTTATTAATTCTTTTTTATATACTAAATAATTTTATTTTACTAGAGAGAGTTTTTTTAATTCAAAAATTATTAATTAATCATCTTTATTTTGATTTTGACTTAATATAGCTCTAATAATAAAATCTAAAATATTTTTGATAATTATAAATGATAATTTTAAATTAAATAATGACAAAACTAATACTAATATAAGATATTATTAAGACTTTCAAAAGCTTATTATACTTAAATAAATTATTTATATTTTTTATTTTTATAAAAGAATACTGTAAGTAATGATACTATAACAAAAAATTCTTTAATAAACTTTTTATAATAGCTTGTTAATTCTAAAAAGAAGTAAAATTCAAATATATTTGTAAATGTTGACTAATCTTTAATAATAACTATTTTTTTTTGATCTATTGAGATATTATCTACTGAAATAAAATATTTAAGATACTGTAACTAATCAGCTTATTTGTGTAGTACAGTAGACATGGTGTAGTAAATAACGCAGCTGCAGTACATGGTATAGTAATTATTGATCACTACTAAATTAGGCGAATAAGTAATTTATATTAATTAATTTAATTTATTATTAATTCTATTTTTAATTCATATTATTATCCATATTTAG